TGAAGGCCGAGAAAAAGTGGACTGAGGTTAGCGGAAGAGAGAAGGTCTAATTTACTGATGGCGAGCGTACACTGAGAAGGGCTAGATTTCCCCTAGAACATATAAGCCGTTGCCAGATGCGAGATTGCCCATAGTCCAGGAAAAGTGAATAGCCGACAAGAAAGGGAACGACAAGTGCTATTGGTGCGCTGAACGTGCACAGAAGTGTGAAAATTTGCAATGAAACCTTATAATTTGATTTCGAGACAGGACGGACACCGGAAAAAAGTGGACAAAGGTCGGCGGAGGAGAGGATGGCGGCCACGCGTCAAAATGTTCCCCTACGAGAATTTTCAGTTGCTCCTGTGACAACCACTCACCGAGAAAAACTGGACAGAGGCTGTTGCCCCTTCCTATGTTATCAGAATCCCGTATGATTTGAGTTCGAGTTCGTTGGCAATATGACATTTTGAGTCTGCAACCCCATTGTTTGGACAACCTCCACACCCTAGATTGCTCCTTTAGTGCAGATGTATAAGAAATTAAGAATCGACTATGAAATTTGAAGTATACACATTATCGTCATCGGACGAAAGAGGAAACAAGACAAGAGCGGTATTGGGAATTCTTGTAAGGGTATCAAATAAGAGAAAAAAACAAACGTCCACCTACTCTGTCGTATACATCCATATGCCTGAGAAACAGCACTACGCGATTGCAAACATTCTTCTTCCGCTTCAATTCAGATTCAGGGGAAGACACGACTGAAGCTTATTAATTAAAATGTCGAGCATAAAGCTATTGCAAGCCACTAAACAAATCGGAGGCGAAAACTGAATAAACCGCTCACTTTGCTGGTCGATCATCGTTTTCAAAAAAGCGTAAACCAAGACCGTGAGATCAGCATCATTCTTACTGAGAAGATGTTTCATGGCTTCGCATGCGCTGACCTGGAATCACTAAATCTAATTGAACCTCACATTATTCTTAACATAGCATTCGAGCTCAAAATAGCTATCTGTAAATGTAC